GGAGCAAGGACCACGTTGCCTTATCTGTGTATCCCCAGGGCCTACAAAGACACTCACAAAAGATGGATGGACAGATGGAAAAAAGAGAGCTGGCTTTACCCAGAGCTCAGAACCCATCAAATTCCTATAATCACAGAATTAAAGACAGTTAGTGACATGGAAGGAATTGAGCCAAGGAGAATTTACACAACTTGTCCAAAGCCGCGTAGCTATTTAAGGCAGAGGCTGAACTTGACCGGCCACCCATATAAAGAATGCAGGGCACTTAAGCTGCACCAGGGCTTCCCAGGCAAGGGCAAGGCTCTAGCCTTTTGGAAGTTTTTGAAATATGCCTCTGACACCAGGAGCAGAATCATGTGGGTGCTTTCTTCCCTTATCTCATCAGTGTTTACTGGAGAGCAATCTTCACCTACGCTCTTCATTACTCTCGGGAATTAAAGAACCCCTGATTCTCTCTCCAACTTGCCACTTCAAGGTCCCTGCGTTGAGAGATTTGCTGCTTGCTGTATGAAATCCTTCTCATGTCTCCAAAAGCTTTCAGAGTTCACCTCATGGATAAATCAAAAGAGTTTCCATGCTGCTTATATTAGAGGGACTTTCGCTGAAGAAACGTGCTTTATAGTTGGAGGACTTGGGACTTTTGTTTACAGATCGAATTAAGTACAGTTTGAAATCATGGCTTTTAGACCTAGCATTGCAGGAAAAGCTTACACTCTGCCATGTAAGAAATCTTTCTCAGCAAAACTCCAAGAGACTGGCACCTCCAAATCAGAGAGCATTTGTTCCTGCCTGCTGGCACACAGCTCAGTGCCATGGCCACATGGCCCAAGAAGACCTCAGGGAGCTTAAGTCAACTGCACTAGTGCTGTAATCCTGATGTGCAGACAGGGCAGCCCATCTGGCAGTGCCCCAGGTCAGAGACTTGGAAGGAGAGAAAGGAAACGGAGCACAGCTCAGGTGATCACACTCCTGCTCGGAACCCTTCAGTAGCTCCCACTGCCTGTGGGGTGACATTCGGAATCCTCCCTGGGGCTTCCAAGGACACTTACAAGAGGGTTCCAATGTACTTGTCCTCCTTACCTACTGGTTCCCTGCAGGTATACCATGTTCTAGACTAACAAGACTGTTCTCTCTCCCTGAACAGTTCAATCACGTAACCCCCTTCCCATCTCTGTACAAGATGTCTCTCCCTAGAGATGCTCCAACCACTGCCTCCCTCGGATCTCATCCCACGTGCCACTTCTTCTCTAGAACCTTTCCTGAGTTTTCCTGCAACCTCCCAGACCTCCTCCGAATGGAAATGGGGTCAACTATGAAACTCTTGCAACTTTTCTAACCACCCGTGGTAATTATTTTCCATATGGAGGGGCAGAATCTGGGAATCATTTTTTCTCTCTGTCAACCAACATTAGCTGAACATCTTCTGTGTGGTAGATGCTGGGCTGGGTGCCTGGGGCATGAAAATAAAGTCAAGATTCTTGCTTTCGATGGACTTATGGTCTAGTGGATGGTAAAGGGTTACACCTAGTGCAGGGGAGAAATGAAATATGAAAGAGATTATGGCAGTTTAAGTTGGGTCATAAAGAGAAATTTGTTCATTGGGCAAACAACAGAGTGAGGAAGGGTTGTTCTAGGTAAAGAGAGCATTATAAACAGCAGGGCTCAGCACAGGGTGGGGACAGGCACTCAGTATTTACTGAATGAATCAAGCAAAGGCTGAGAAGATTACAGACTGGTCAGCCCCCCCACACTAGTAGTGTCTACATTCACTGAGCACCTACCTGACTTCCATCCCTCACAGCAAACCCAAAAGTCAGGGAGCATCATCCTCATTTTATGGATGAAGAAACTGAGGCTTCCAAGGTCCAAGACCCCAAAGCCATCAAGTGGCAGAGCTTGGCTGGTGCTCCTGATAATATAAGGATGTGTTAACGAGGTTGCTTCCAAGGATGGATTTATAAAGCAAACTCCTAGCTCTCTTCCTCTAACCCTGGGTGGACCACTCCAGGCAGACCTCAGATCCCAAATAGCATCTCTGGGAACACATACTGAGACAGAGGAGGAGAGAAGCAGTGGAAGCTGTGCTCCACGCAGATTCTACACACAGTAGGGTTGTGCCTCTCTCTATAAACCTGATGCTTGTCCTCTTAGGGTATATGGTCTTAGTGGCCCCAAATGTGGGCCCTTTTTCCTAATTTACAAATAACAACCTGAAAAGAGCCATCCAAAAGTCACCTCAGGTCAACTCAGGCTCATTAAAGCTCTCCCAGGGCTCCAAGAACTGAATTGCATCTCTGGCTTTCTAGGACAAAGCATTTCTTTTTTGATGGAGTTCTACATCTGATCATTTTCTCAATTTCTTCCTTTCTAGCTCAGGGTGTTTTCTGTGTTTCTTATATTGGATGCATTTCCCCCCCTTCTACCTGAGACTATTATATCTTGCTATTGTGGCATTCCTTTGCCATTGAAAGCAATCAGAAATGAAAATCCACATTTCAGAACAGTGTCCATTAAATATGCACCTTTTTATGGTTGGAAAAAAAAAAACCAGACAGCACTCTGTGGGGACTGAGTTTCAGCTCTGCGTCTTGCCTTAAAGATACTTGGATGAGACAGGCCATTTGTATTTGGGTATTTGAGAGAGATGGCAGAAAGTCTGGAGTCAAAATCAACTTATTTTAAGGAATGCCTTAATTGAAAGCATTGCTAATCAAAGTGTGGTCCTTGGGCCAGGAGCAACTGCATCACTTGTGAGCTTGTTGGAAATGCAGACTCTCAGGCCCACCCCAGACCAACTGAACCAGAACCTGCCTTTTAGCAAGATTCCAGGTGATTCGGATGCACATTAAAATTTTAGAAGCACTAGTCTAAAATTAAGATGAGTTTGCTTTTATCACCATCCTGGAGCTTCCATGTGGATTCCTTTCCTAAGAAAGAAATCTCTGTATAGTGAACTCCATAGAACATTCCCCACCATGCTTTTCCACCTGAACTCTTCATTCTTGGAAGAATTTTGAAATGATAAATCATCTTCCAAAAATCAGCCTGAGAGAGTACCAGATGACACTCGCTGATAGCTAGTCTTTCTGCAGCATGTGGGAACTCAGAAAAATGCTGAAGGGGAGGGGTGACAGATGACCCTACTCCCACCTTCTTCCTCCAGGCTCTGAATCTTTTTGTTGACATCTTCGCCCCTCAGAAGAGAGCGGTAAAATACATGTTGCACAACCACACAGGTGACTGACATGAGGCTGAAGGGGCCGTGCTGTGTGCTGAGCTCTGAGGTCTGTAAGGGGGGATGTTCTGTAAACACAAATAGCAGAACCAAGGGTCCAGCCTCCAAATCCAGGCTGTGCTCAGACCTCACACTTCCAATAACAACGGTCAAGACACACATACATGAACCCTGATTAACTTGTCACCTACATCAGAGAAACGAACTGAGAGGCTGGAGAATCACGTGGACCTGACTTGAGGAAATGACAGCTAGAACTGGAGACAAGAGAAGAGAAAAGACGGAAGGTAATGACCCAGCCCTGCTCAAGGCTGTCCTGCCCACCAGGTCCCACTCACCCTCCAAGTGGAGCTGAAGCCCACAGTCAGACAGAGGCTGTGACCAGAGCCCTGGCAGGCCACACAAGTGCTGGCCTGGCATCCCAGTTGACCTTGACCTATGAAGAAGAAACCTGCCTCAGAGACATTTCTACAAAAATAAGAGTACCAAAAAAAGTTAACCCTTATCAAAAAAAACAAAAAACAAAAAACAAAACCAAAACCAGGTCCCCATCCAAAGCAAGCGTTTTCTTACTAATTTCGACAGATGTACACAGCACAGGAAGCTCCTTCAGACTCCAGGCAGCTTTCAGACCTCTAAGTGCAACGCCTGAGTTATTGATTACTCTGTGTTAAAGCCCAACCTGGTATTCCCCTCCCCTACTTCTGCTAATTTTTCACTCATTTTTTTTCCATCTTCATATTTGAATTCTCCAAAACAGCAATATTTAAAACACTAAAATGACTTATTTATATCAGTCAATACCTGCCTTTCCACGAATTATAATTTATTTATGTATTAACAGTTTCTCAGCTCCAGAAACATGATTCTGTCCTTTTAATATGTCCAACATCAGCAAGCTCTCACAGAAAATCTAGAATGGACAGCAATGGGCTGTGAAGGCAGGAAGACTCTTAGGCGCTGAAATTCAGACAGAAACACCATCCGTCTTCCTCTACCACAACCAAAAGATAGCCCCCTCCCCTAGAACCCAGTAGGGTAGAGATTAGCTGCCTATGGGGACGGAGGCTGATCAATTTTATTTCAGCTAACCTCCACTTCACAGAAAAGCATCGACTTTACTCCTCTGTAAATCAGACCTGGATAATCCAAGCAATCCTCCAGAAACACATCTGAAGAAAAACCTCCGTATCGCCTTGCCAGCCCCAACATGCACGGGCATGCCTGAACACACTGCCTCCCAAGGCAAGAGAAAGTTAACTTTCAAATAAACCTGTCCTTCAGCCAGTCTGGCCATGTTTCCAGGCCCTTCACATTCACAAAGGTGGTTCTTGCAATTCTTGCCTAAATCCAGAAGCTGAAACCTGACCTCTGTCTGCTGAGGGCACAGACAAGGGTCAAAGGTCCACAGGCACACAAGTTAACCACAAATACACCGCTTTCTTTCTCTCTCTCTTTTGGCCAAAGTGAAAATAATGGGCCAGGCTTATTGTGTTTCCTTCAGAGAAGCCAGGCCCGGGGGCTGGTAGGAAGCTCCAGACATAATGTGGGTGTGTAAGTCTGTGCAGGCGCCACAGAGGAATTTTCTGGGAACTCCAGGGGTTTTGAAGAAGGGTGGTATCAGGCGGGGACACAGGGGTTCCTCGGATTCTCAGGTACCCCAGAACTCTGAGCGTACAGTGGGGGGAGTGGCAGGGCTGTCCTGCCAGCCAGGCTCCCCCTCCCGGCCGTCCCAGGCCCTCCCCGTCACAGCGAGGTCACTCACCACCCGTGAGCTGTGCAGGGCCGAAGCACAGCGCCAGCTGAAACCACAGGATCACAGCCAAGAGTCTCTGGGGGGATTGGGGCTGCTGCTGCTGCTGCTGCTGCTCTAGAAATCCATCTCCATTGCTCGGGTTCATTCCATGATACATCTTTCATCCACAGTGGGCATCCGGCTTGCAAGAGTCTGCAACCAGGAGCGAACACGACAATACCCCAGGCTGCCGGGGCTCCGGGGGCCACGAGCCCCATCCTCCGCCCTGGGACCGGGAACCTCGGCTTCCGCAGCTCCATCCCCGTTCCTCCCCTGCCCTCTTTCCCACGGCGAGATGCCCCCGCTTCCCCCCAGCGCGGGGTACACTGAGTAACAGCCGCCGCGGGATGCTGCGCGTGCGGGAGGGATGGAGGAGGGGAGGGAGGGCAGGGGTTAGTGCACATTGGCTGTGCGCCGGTCCCTGGGATTCAGCGGCTGTGACCACGACAGGAAAGTATAAAGCCTTTTAAGCCTCTGAGGGCTAAAAAAACACTTTTTCCTGGGCCTATACATTTCACTCTTAGGAATCTCATGATGTGGCATCGGATCCCCCCAGCTACTTCTCTGGGTTCCCCCCAGGATCGGGATGGGTCCTACTGCCCAGTCCCCAATGAGATTTCTCTGCGCTGTCAAAAAAATTCCTCCCACGGGGAGCAGAACCAGGCAGCAACTCCCCCTCTTCGGCCTGCGCGCACCTCCCCGGGATGGAAAGCCCCTTCCTGGGCTCGCGGTCTTACCTGTGGGTCTCATGCATGCAGCTTCCTTCCCTCCTCCGCCTCCTCCCCCCGCCAGTCTAACCCGCATCTGTGCGCGACCTCTGCTGCCGCCACTGCGCGAGCGAGCGAGACAGAAGCCTCAGCAGCGGCGGCGGCGGCGGCCCCCGGCTCCAGCTCCCCCCGCCCGCGCTCTCCCTCCCCAGGCTCCCGGAGCCGACGGGTGCGTGGGG